TTTTATTTGGCTTTTTTTTTTTTTTCTTTTTAAAGGAGCAGGATAAAAGTTTCCTCCCCCCCCACAGTGCACTTTGGCCTTTTGAAAGCCTGAGGGAGATCTGGTCAGTGCTAATGCAATGACTTCTGTTACCCAGGCGCTCCTGTCATTTGGCTTCCATTAACTAAGCTATTAAAGCAGGGGAGCCAGAGCTCGGTGCACAGGGGTGAAATGTGATCTCAAGGTGGACTGCACTGTAACAACATCTGGGCCTGGCCCTGCATTGTAAGCACTCTCCCTCCTCGCATTCTAGATAAGGCTGATCTGCCGAATCTGGGAGCTCTAGGAGGGCCAAACAAACAGTTTCAAAGTCCACCTAAATACAAACACGGCCGGCTGGCTTATTCCTCAAAGATGTGCCAGTACAACAGCCTGTAGACCATTTCAATTAGGGCAATTACAATTGCCTGCTGGGTGGTTGGTGCTGGTTACTTTGCCCCTTTGTCATTCTTTGCCTGGCAAAGACACCTTTTCCAAGAACACATCCAAGTCTTGTAACTTTAAAATAACTTTTTAATGTATTTAACAGTAAATCAGTATTTTATTTTTGTAAATCAGTATTAACCTATAAAACATAGTAGGTGAGCAGTAACCTATATAACATAGTACATCAGCATTAACTAATAGAACATATATCAACATTGCCCTATATAACCTAGTATATCAGTACTGTATTAACAAATATAACCTAGTACATAAGCATTACAATATAGTACATCAGCATTAACCTACAGAACATGGTACATCAGCATGAACATATATCAACATTGCCCCATATAACCTAGTATATCAGTGTTGTATTAACAAATATAACCTAGTAAATCAGCAATACACTATAGAATCTAGTAGATTAGCACTAACCTGTATAACATATAACACAGTACATCACTATATATCTATTTATATCTCTCATAGTACATTAACCTATATAACATAGTACATCAGCCTTAGTACAGGGGTGGACAAATGCATGTGGAATTCAGGAGCCAGTTTGTCCAATCCATGAGCCGGCTCCATTGGGAACACCTAGAGAAAATCTTAAAAGTTAGGTTCTCGCTGTCTTTTTTTTGGGGAGCATTGGCTAGCTGTCTCCTGGGATTTGTCCGGTCTTAGCTTAATATAATGTGTAGTTTACAGTTTTAACAATTTTAGGCTGATGGCATTGTTCTTATAACTTTTTATTTCTAATCTTCAGCTGATCTGTTGGGAGTTCTCACAGGCTCACAATAAATGACTGACATGTAGGGGCTTATTCCATCTGGCACAGATCAGAAAATGTCAGCAGCCCACACTGACCAATCAGAATTGATTCTTTGCGGGACTTTAGTTAACTGATAATTGGATCGACTTTATTTTATTTACTCTTTGCAAAAATGCAAGGTCAAGTGCTGTACAGTAAGCCACAGTAACCAATCGGAAATGAGCTTTCAGTAGGCATAGCCGTGTGTGTGGTGATCTCCTGTTGGTTGGAATGTATGCAGCCCATCAGCATACAGTTAAAATAATACAATAAAAAAAAAAAAATTATATATATATTTTGATTTCTCTAGTTGTCAATGAAGTTGACTCCTAAAAATAAATGAATAAAACAAATACTGCTTGCTCCTGGATTGGACAGCTGCTGCTGAATTCTGTATTGATTTTGTCCTCCCCTGTGGTAACATCTATTCATTATCTATTGCCAGGTCACAGTTGCTCTTTGAACATGTCATTTCAACTCCCTCCAGTTTCCTAAACAAAATATACATGTAAATGTTACTTTTTACCTACTTGAGAATATTTTCTCATTTGCATCCTTGTGTGTGTTTGTGTAAATTTTTTCTTCCATGTGCACAGATAAAACCACCCCGGTAAGCTTTGAAATGTGGCATTCTTGCGATATGGAAGCTATGTTAATTAAAGCCTTTATGCCTTAGAACATGAATTTGTGTTCACTTCAGATTTCAGGGGCCCGCTGAGGGGAGTTTTATGAAGGGAACCTTTTATCGTTTCCTTTAGCATTTTTTTTCTTTCCCTCCCTGAGGTTTCCTGAAATTTCTCTTTTTTTTTTTTTGTAAGTTTTTAAGTTGCAGTATTGAATTTTCAGTTTTTTTTACCCCCTTTTTCTCTTCTCTCCCTCTTTTTTATAACCACACTGCTGATCGCGTGCAAGTCAGGGGTAGAGAAACCCACGTTGTAGTTGTGACCAACTTTTTATGGCTTTCCATTTCAGCTGAAAGGAATTGACTTTGGCAAAGACACCAGGAATTGTGAAGCTCACGATTGCAGTTTTTTTTATAAAGTTGACTGAAGAGGACTTTTGTGAAATGTCCCTTTCTCTGTCAGCTTACACAGGGGTCACGTAACACCTCGGCGAGTGCAGGGGTCACCACTGAGTGCCAAATACACATGACACAGGATTTTTTAAAATATATCTGCAACAAGTTTTTCTTAAACCTTTTTTTATTTTCATCCTGTGTCATATAAAACATATTTGTCTCGAGTGTATAGGTAGTTTTGAACCAAAGCAATGTTTGCCGTTCTTTCGCATCTCATAGAAATGATGTCTCATTTCTGCAAAGCCTCCTGGCACTTGTAGTTCCACAATAGCTGTAGGTCCGGATTTGCTCACCCCTGGTCTAACCCTTGGGTATAGGTGTATGTAATTATACAAGTCTTTGTGCATCTCTGTGCAGGTTGTGTTTTTACTACCATGTCAATACAACCGTGATTAAGTGTCATTTCTTTTTCTATCTTCCAGGTGAAATTAGATGCTACTGTGACGCTCCGCACTGTGTTGCAACTGGATACATGTGCAAGTCGGAATTAAACGCCTGCTTTTCCAGGTTGCTTGACCCACAGAACATCAATTCACCACTCACGCACGGCTGTTTGGACTCTATTGCAAACACAGCAGACGTGTGCAAGGCCAAAGGCGCAGGGAGCCAGAGTGGGGCATCTATACCCAAGTTGGAGTGCTGTCATGAAGATATGTGCAATTACAGAGGCCTGCATGATGTACTTTCTCACCCCAGGAGTGAAACATGATTTTGTTTTTATTGTAATTAGAGATACCAGTGGGAAAAGAATGGTTAGAGTTAAAGATGTATTTCTGTTAGGTAGCTTTGATGTCTGTCTGAGCCTTTGGCTCCTGTCTGGCTTTTAGTGCCCGTTCGCAGGCATGTCTTCCCATCCTTGCGAAGAATGTTCCATTATTTGTGTGGACGCTGCACTTCTCAGGGTTTTATCTTTTGCCTCTCGCAAACAAAAGGTTCTCTGCTAAAGCTCGGAGCAAACTAACTTACAAGCATCTGCAAACAAACCGCCGTGCAAGACATAAACGTTTTGGTTTGCTAAAGTCTTAGATTTGTCTTGCATGAGAAATATGGAAGCTGCCATTGCTGGCCTCATGAAAATGCTAGTTGCTTGGCTTAGCTTTCTGGGTCAGACTAGAACACACATGCAACAAATGTGAGTCATTGCAGTTCCTCTTGTATTTAGGTCAAAGTGCCAGGAAGAAGGCCAGACAACTAGCATTTTGTGGGAAAGTTTAACAATGGCAGTCTACAGCTGGTGTTCATGGCAAGTGTCCTTGAAAGAGAATTTTAAAACTGGAACCTTTTGGGGTTTTTTTTTTTTTCTTTTTTGGGCAAAGTCTCCTGGCTCCTTACGGATTTGCCTAGCTTTCTTTGTAATGTGTGTTTTTTTTTTTTTGGTTTTTAAAGGGAGTAAAGGTCTTTTGAGTAAAGTTTTAATGTTATCCCTTTTTTATAAAGAGAACCTTTGTTTTGCCAATGCTGTGCAAAGCATTTGGGTCACCAAACTTGTGCCCTCCCCAGGTCGATATACATGCCTTACCTTCGCTCACCTGCTGCTCTAGGTATGGGTATGGAGAAAATGTGGCTCCCTCGGCCTTTATCCCACGTGATAGCACTGTTGTTGGGCTACTTGGGAACCCAGGGGAAGGAGAGTGTCTTTATAATCTGCACATGGCTTCCTGTCTTCATTCTTGTCAGTGGGGTAGAGAAAATAAGGTAAGCATGCCCGTCTGGCAAGGGTGGCAGCCAAGTGAACCTGTTGCTTGTAGTGTCCTCCTTCCTGTGGGTGCCAGGGAGCTCTAATATACCAATACTCCAATCACAATTAACATTTCCTTTTCCAATTGTTATTTGATTGTGATCTGTACTTTAAGTTAACTAAGGCCCACTGTTAACTTGTGATGTTACTGTCCTTTTGCTGTGCTGGATGCTAAAAAAAAATGTTTACTTCTCTTGCAGGCGCTGGTGGCAGGTACCAACACGAAAGCACAAGAAACCTTATCACAAAGGTCCAGGAGCTAAATTCCTCCAAGGAACTGTGGTTCAGAGCAGCTGTCATAGCTGTCCCTATAGCCGGTGGACTTATACTGGTGCTACTTATAATGCTTGCACTCCGTATGCTCCGCAGTGAGAACAAGAGACTAAAAGATCAGCGGCAGCAGATGCTGTCCAGACTACATTACAGTTTTCACGGTCACCACACGAAGAAAGGACAAATAGCCAAGTTAGACTTGGAGTGCATGGTGCCGGTCACCGGGCACGAAAACTGTTGCTTGACCTGTGATAAAATGAGGCATACAGACCTTGGCAATGACAAAATAATCTCACTGGTACACTGGGGGATGTACAGTGGACATGGCAAGCTGGAATTTGTATGACCATGTTGGACATCTTGGTCCGGTAGAGCCTCTGCTGGGTAGAAGCACTTTATCTTTAAACACAAACTGTTATCCTAAGAGGAGGAAGTTGGAATCTTCTGCACAGCGGGATGTTTGAAGTTTTCTGGTGGAAGGTTCCAAAAGATGTCTTATTTGCACAGATTAAGAGTTTAAAGGGGGGGAGGACACTTTTGTACTATGGTTTTTTTTTTTTCTTTATTTTGTTGAAAGACGCCAGATGTAGAAAAGTTGTACACACTGTCACCAAGGTTTCCTGAATTTTAGGGAGCCAATATTGGTTATTGAAATAAACTGTACACAATGTACACATTTCTATATACATGTTTAATGTAAAGAATTTTTAAATATATATTTTGTCTGGAACTGTTTGGGTTTTGTGTTTTTCTTTAAGGGTCTCTTGTGCATATTGGTTTGCAATGATTTTCTATTATAGAGAGTTTAAATATTACCTGTAGGTTTATCTTGTTACTTTGGCTGTCACTGGGGCTGTGTCGGTTGGTATATTCCTCAGTTTTTTGGATTTTCCTTTTCTTCCATTCCCAGTGATGGTGGTCAATGGGACACATATAATGGCCAGACAGCGTTGCAAATCAGACAGTAGTTTTGGATGAACTAAAACGATGGGCCCTTTACATTATCAAGTTGATGGAGACCAAGTTCAATCAAAAGTTTTTAAAGTTTATTCAACCGTGTCCCCCCCCCCTCATAAAAAAGCAGTTAAACTATATAGTAAACTACAGCAAAGATCCCTCTTCTGTAAATGTTTTAGGGCCCATGCCATTGTTCTTGCTGAGTGCCAAGCGGTAAGGTTTGCCTACTACAAATAAATTGCACTCCTCTGCCATCCCTCTAAAGTGCAGTGCCTTTTAAAATCTCCCACCACCAATGGAATACATGTATTGGTAAATCTAAGGCAGGGGTGGGCAACGCCAGCCCTCCAGCTGTGCTTTTAACTACAAACCCCAACATGCCTCTGGGAGTTGTAACTGTCAGTCTTGCAATGCCTCATGAGACTTGTAGTTCCACAACGGCTGGAGTTACCTGATCCTGATCCAAGGTGTAAACCAGAGGTTGCATGAAATTCTTCTGCAGGGGACAAGAATACTGGGAAAACTATGCAAATTGAGTGCAGTTGTCATGGATACAAGAGTGTGAAAATGGATTTTGACAAGTTTAAAAAAAAAAAAAAAAATCTGTACTAACTTTTTTTTGTTTTTTTAAATTTTGAGTTTTTTCATCAAACAAAAAATGATTTGCACCGGTCCATATTTGGAGTTTTCACTTAGGGTTTAGTGAGGGAAAACTTGTCAGATCTAAAATATTTTCCTATGCTCTCCACTGTTGCTGATCTTTTGATCCTCTGCAAGTGTCTTTAATTGTAAAGAAACTTGCAGAGGAAAATAGCTCCTGCACCTTTTCGCATGACGGGCGATTTCGATCGCGCTACAAACCACAAAGGTGTGAACAGCCTCCATTGACTTCAATGCGAATCTGTGTTTTGCTCGATATCGCACGACTCAAAGTGCGCAATAAATCGTTTGGTGTGCACCGGCCCTCCGTACTGCTCCTGTGACTAGGGCGAACATTGTGTGTAATGTTTACTTTTTCTACACAGAGTGGCAGCACATTGACTAGATTTTGCTACGTACACACTCTTTGAATGCACGCTTTTTAGTGTCTGGAGTAGAAAAACACATCAAATTTTGCACAGTTCTCATATACAAAAGTAACCTTTTGGCTGCAGTTAGCTGTGTAATTGGGACCCCCTCCCCAAATCGGCTCATTGTCCTGTTGTACAAACACGCCTGCCATTGTGATGCTACTGTTTCTTTTATGTGCTGATCACACCCTCGGTGTCTTTTATCAAAGGCTCCGAAATAAAGCCTTGGAATGAGGGCTGTCCATACAATTTAAGGCTTTTTTTTATGTCTGGCTGAGCATGTATGTCATACCCTGAGATCTGACATTTAAGTCTAATTGCCTAGAATGTTCATTTCCAGATTATCAGATGCTTTATCCTGTCAGGATATCGGTTTGAAAGTTGCCTGGTCTTGAAGCTGAAGCTTTCTATGCTGTCTCAGTTTGGAGTGTAGATGTTTTAGGATTTGCAGATAAGGAAAAGGCAGGTATTTATCTCCGTAATTGCATCTTAGCTGGCTATTATGTTGGCTTATAGGCATAGCCCACCTTGATACCATGTTTCATGTTACACTCATAGTTGGAGTGCAACATGAAACGTTTGTCCTTTTATGTCCTCTAGCCCCATCATAGAAGGTCCATACCTTCTGTATGAACCTGGGGGTCAGTAATACAGAAGCCTGTGCATTGCACCTTGGATGCACTGAGCTCAGTTACAATGCTCTGCAAGGGTGTAAAATGCAACATGGCCACAATCCCCAATCCCATCTGCCACTTACTTGAATCATGGGGTGCTTCTTGCTCCAGGTTGTTGTTTGGATTCAGCATGGCTGTGTCCATTAGCCATTCACAGGGGTCTGTACTGCACTTGTAGTCCATTCTTTACTTCCTCCTGCCCTCACAATAGAAGGTCTGTACCCCTGTATGAATCTGGGGCTTGGTCAATAATGCAGGAGCCTGTGCATTGCACCCATGATGCACTGAGCTCAGTTGCAACAGTGTAACATGGTCACATTCCCCAAACATCCACTGCACACTTACTGTACATGCATCAAGGGGTGCTTCTTGCTCCAGGTTGCTGTTTGGATTCAACTGCACTGTGCAGGGCTTGGCCCGTCAGCCATTTACAGGGATCTTTGAATGGCAATAATACCACTGTGGAAGAGGGACTCGGCACATCACGCTGACGACAGGGCGGTGATGTCGCTGCACATGTAATCAATTATTCACTTCCTTAAGCTTATAATGGAGATCCATACGGACCCAAGTGTAAATGGTGCAGGAGCCTGGCGCTGCACCCAGCACGCACAGGCCCGTTCACGCCACCCTGCATTGCCCAACAATTTGCATTATGTCTGATCGCTTCAGTTCAGATCACTGCATGGATAAAGAAAATGGCATTTTTACACATTGCTTTCAGACGCAACATTATGCACTGCAACCTGCAGCAGCGCATACAAAAAGAACTGAGTACTGCAGCTCAGTGCAGGCCAAGGACACACTACTACACGTGTGCTTTTGTGTGTGTTCCTAACCCACGCATTGCAGTGCTTTTTTTGTTATGCGTTGCAGGTTGTGATGTGTTTCATTGTGTCTGAGCGAAAATGCTGTTGTGTGAATGGGCCTTAACAGTCCCACTTTGGCTTATTAAGGTAAGCAGTGATCATTCATGGTCAAGAGCAGGGATCGGCAACTTCAGCACTCCAGCTGTTGTGGAACTAAAAGTCCCATGATGCACTGTAAGACTGACAGCCACAGGCAATTCTCCCAGAGAGATGCATGGTGGGATTTGTTGAGTCAGCACAGCTGGAGTGCCGAGGTTGCTTTCTCCTGGTCAAGAGAAACCTATAGCAAGTAACCACCTATCAGCACTCTAAAAGTGGAACTCCGGCCAAATCATGTTTTCCACTTTTGGCTATAGTGGGGGTGGGGTTAAACAATGCTGGTATCTTATTGCTGACTGTGACACCATTCAGGATAGTTACCTTTTCTTCCTAAGGGGTCATCAGTCACCAGAATCTCTCCAAAAGGGGATTCTTCCTTTCAAATTCTTGGCAAGGGCCAGAACCCGCATCAAGTTTACTCTACTGTCTGTGTCTCTGCTAGGGAGATTCCAAGAGGGAAGCTCCTCAGTGGGGACACTGGCAGCAGTAACCACAATGGAGGTTCCGCATGACCAAAAACTGAAAACAAAACATTTTGTCTGGGTTTCCATTTCTTGCCTAAGTGACGACTATTGATGATGGGTCGCTTTACTTCCTATATTATTTTGTCTATTAGCGTCAAGTGTGCTGAACAATCCCATGTAGTGATCAGGAGAGTTTATAATGATTCTAGGTTGTGTCGGCCATAGAGAAGTGCCGCACGGCCTCCTCTGTCAGCCTCAGTTTTTCTGAGAGAGGAAGGGCCTCATGTCAGTTGACACACATCAAAAGCTCACTAGAAGATCGAGTAAATTATTCAGACCTGCAGAGAAAGTAAACCGCTGCCAGGAATAGTACACGTATGTGACGTGTTTGCCCCGGATCAAATGTTTCAGCTATTTCGTGTAAGACATGTGGACTTATTGCAACTTCAGCAACCGATGCTCCAACTTACTGGAGTCTGATTAGCAAACTGCTCTGACCCATAGCAACCAATCGGATTGCACTTTACTGAAGTCTGATAAAGTGAGGTAGTCTATAGCAACAAAATGGGTTGCACTTTACTGAAGTCTGATAACAAAGTGAGCTAGTCTATAGCAACCAGTCGGATTGCACTGTACTGGAGTCTGATAACATTTTGCAGGAGCCTATTGCAACCATTCCGATTCCACTTAACTGGAGTCTGATAATGTGTAGTAGCCTATAGCAACCAATATTCCACTTTACTGAAGCCAGATGAAGTGTGGTAGCCTATGGCAACCTAGCCGTTTCCGCTTTACTGGAGCCAGATAGATAAACAAAGTGCAGTAACCCCCAGCAACTAGCTTTCACTTTACTGATGAAAGATGAGCTCTGGGTTACTGCACATTGAGGGGCATTTGCTAAAGGTGCCCATACACATTGCGATCGTCGGACAAAACTTTTCGTCCGATGATTGAACCGTCGTACGATTTTTGCACGGCGGGCCCATCCTGCCCCAATTATCGCAAGGTTCAATCAGCGGTATTTAAAAAAGAACACCTGGACTAATTGCGGTAATCGACCGCAGGTATTTTCATTTGCACATGAGCAGTGTTAATCAAAATCAAAAGCCGTACGGAAACGCCAACAACCTTGCGAAAATTGTACGATCGGCTGAAGTTTTCGAACATGCAGGAAAGACCAAAGTCGTATGATAGTACAGTACTGGCGGTTGCACACTCCCCATACACCTTGCGATTGTCGTACGAAAAGTCGATCGCGTACGATAATCGTAAGGTGTATGGGCACCTTTAGACTGGAGCAGACCGAATCTGGAGCAGTTGTGCATGGCAACCAATCGGCTTCCAGCTTTCATTTTCATGGTTTAACTGAACAAGCTGAAGGTAGAAGCTGATTTGTGGCACTATATTCTGTCTGCTCTATGGTCAATAAATCCCCGTCATTGCACATTGCTGTTTGCCAAATTGCATCATCATTTATTTGTCCAGCAGGGTTGTCTAAAGGTGCCAATAGATATCACATGATATGGTATTTATTACAGGCATTTATATAGCGCTGACAAGTGACGCAGAGGACATCAGTGTCCATCCTGT